TTGGAGTTTAGAAGAGAGACGAACGTATTGAAACGTATTAGATTCTTGGGGAGCCGTACAGGGTAGCTGTGGAAAGATTGTTTCTGCTTGTGTTAGAGAATAGGATCAGAGGGCTTAATCTCAGAGTAAAGGGTCACCCACTTTGGACAAAGATAAGGGGGAATTTCTTGCCTCAGCATAGTGAAGCTGTGGAAATCTTTACCACAGAGGGCTGTTGAGGCAGAGTTGTTAAGTATATTCAATGATGAGATAGACAGGTTTCTAATCATAAAGGGAATTGAGGGTTATGGAATAAAGCAGTAAAGTGGGTTTGGGGATTATCTGATTAGCCATGTTCTCATTGAATGGTAGAACAGACTCAATGGGCTGAATGACCTACTTTTGCTCCTAAGTCTTATGGTCTTATGGCTAAGACTCCAACTGCTGTCCAACCAAGCTGCCTCAGGTCGCCTGAACTTCCTGACACTCCACCTTGTTACATATCAGAGTGGGCAGAGCTCCAGCTTGGTTCATAGACTAATTCACCCTTTTCATATCCATCATCTTATATAGCACGTTAGAGCTGTGACCCTGCTGCGTGTAACACCCACCGTTTATTACCACTTTCTCAAAGCACTCAGTGCCCAAAGTCACCTCACCCTGAGGCCAGTGTCTTCCTGGATCTTCAATTGTGTAACAAATTTCAGACTATTTCCCATTATTATGCAATTTGTATCTATCTCCTCCCTCACTGATTTAGGGATGATTCATAATTCAAGAACCGCGGATGATCATGATCATGAGTTGGAAGATACATTCAGCCATTTGACTGATGGATTCTAGTTGATCGATTGAATCCTCCAACATTGAAATTGAAGCCTGTATACTTCAGCTCTGCAAGATTTAGTGTTTTTAGCAAAATAAGCGATTTATTTGGAATGTGGGTAGTAAGTGGAGGCAATGTTGGGTTGAGCTTTCATCCTCTAACAATTGTTTGTTTTTTAAAATTTGTTTTATTTATTTCCAACCCCCTCCATGGCCTTTCCTTCCTGTCTCTGCAATGTCTTCCAGCCCTGTAACTGAGATTTCTGCTCACCTCCAATTCTGGCCTATTGAGCATCAACAACTTTTGTCACTCCACCATTGGCAGCCAAGCTTTTAGTTTGCTGGATCCTTATCTTTGGAATTTTCTCCCTACAGCTCTCTCTTCATTTTTGAGCTATTCGTTAATACCCATCTCTTATTAACTTAATAACCTCTTTATGTAGCATTGTGTCAGATTTTGTCCTGTATCACTGCTCTGGAGAACCTCAGGATGATTTACGTTGTTAATGAAGCTATATAAATGCAACTTGTTTCTGGATGCAGCAACTGCTTAATTATAAATGTTAAGCTTATCTGGTTTGTTTACCTGGAAATTCAGTCACACAAAAGTGGGAGGAGGGCAGATTGTATCACCTGTCAACATATGTTATGGAGCAGACCAAAACCCCCTCAAAATATTCAGGAGTTAGTCTAGACCTTAACTTTTTCTTATTTTAAAGGTAAATGTAGGCATGGTGTTCCAGATGCAATTTGATTGGTCAAACTACCAGATTTAAAGCAAAACACACTTTACTCATCCAATGTAGTTAAAATACAACAAAAGAAAGCAGGAATTGGAATAACTTAACATTATTGGAAAATTTAACAGAATAAAAGATACAGTAACTGTTACTAGTTAACTGTTCCAATATAGTAACATCCCATAAACGCACCCTTGACAAAAGGAAAATTCAGAAAACAGATTGTCTCACATGCAGCTCCTGTAGCAAGCAGAGAACTGTCAGCTTTTGGCTGTAACCAAGAGGGAAGAAACAGTTTTCACTTCTTCAAGACCCCAAAGCAATTGCTGCTGAAAAGTAAAAATCTCTGGTTCTGAGGGAGGGAGCTTGACCGCACCCAGTCAGGCTGCTTCTATTGTTCCAGCTTTAAACAAAAACACTCAAGACTTTGCAAGCTGTTTATCTTCTCATGGCAGGGGGAGGCACCTGTCCCCCAACCTCTCTGTCTAAACGAAACCAGGACACAACACACCTTTTGAAGCCACAGCATCATTACACCTGGTTCCAGTAAACATGTTAAATTGGTGCTGGGACTTTATTGAATTGGTTCCAATGCGCGGCCTGTGCTACTTGATGCCGGCATGCTTGGGTGGGGTGGACATTGAGCTAATCTGTCTCCACTTACAGGCAGCTGGCACCAATTTAAAGGGGAAGTGCACTCTGGTGGAGACAACATGAAATCATGCCTGAATGCAGAAATAGTTGCATGACCTTGCGTTTCCACAGTTTTTTGCTACTGTTTTAGAGGCAGTGGTCTAGGAGATGGTGGTAAAGAGGAAGATCCTGTTCAGTCTTGCCTCCCTCTCTCTCTAAGGGTTTAATAGTGAAATCATCATTTGAGCAGCCAGATTTCAAATTTTTAAGACACAGGTAGGAGGTCGAAAATATCTAGAAGTTCATCAACAGCCTTAATAGACCAACCAGCAACAAACCTGTGAGTATGTCATGGCTGAACTGTTTAATTAACAATGCTGAAATGTTCAAAACAGAGATTGATAGGTAAGGGTGTTCTGGATTACAGATTGAAGGTGGATAAGGAGCCAAAGGACAGATCAGTCATGATTTAAATGAATGGAGAACAGGTTCAAAGGGCTGAATGGTCTCCTCCTGTTCCTATGACTCTCATCTCCATTTTGTCTGTCATCACCATAAATTGCAACACAAGTTTATCATTGACAGTGAATGGGTCACGAAGTCCAATATCAGGAAGATTTCTGACCACAATTTTAGGACCCTTATCAAAATATTATCATTAACTGTTTTAGCACTTCTGCCATGCACTTTGGCACCTAACAAGCTCTCTCCAGTGAAATATGATTGCTGGCTCACTCTATGTTAGCCCTCAAAATCTTCAGTACCACTGAATATCTAGAAATAGTTTCTAATGGACATGGTTGTCAATTTTCTTTTGAAGTCTTAAACAATTAACCTTAATTGTCACATACAACATCAATTTGAAAGAAAGTGGTCTCTTATCAGTAACTGAATAAAAAAGATCACACTTTAGTTCAACTTACTAACTCTTGAGGACCTCATTAATCATCTTCACAAAGACTTGTGATTATATATGTATTCAATAGTTGGTACTGCAATTATAATTACCCTAAGCTAACCAGCAGCTGTTACCTGGTAACAGCAGTTGTTTACAGTGCTAGGGAAATGACTGATCCTCATCAATTTGCCAAACAAATATCTCGTGAGCAGAATAAGTACTGTAGTTCCTGATATATTTGTCAAGCTACAATTGTTGTAAGTACTTTGAAATGCAAAATGGTTTGCATGGGATGATTTAGTGTGTGTGTTCAGTTGTTTATGCAGAGTTATGCTCACAGTGTATCAAGTCATAGAAATATCAGTAACTTTACTGCTGATTACCTTGAGCTGTAATTCATGTAAAATCATCATCTTTTGTCTTTTCAATGCGTTTCAAACATGTTTAGCTTTCTTTTGAATGAATCTCTAGCATCATAGATTGTTTCGACTAGCTATAATGATGTATCTGAAAGCTGTAGCTCAATAGAATTCATGTTTCCGAGTCAGGAGATTTTGCATTCAAATCCCATTCCTGAGACTCAAGCAAAAATTCTAACTGACATTCCAGTGCAGTTAGGCAAGTGCCATTTTTTGAATATTTAATGCTAAACCGAGGCACTGTTTGCCTACTTGGGGCTGATGTGAAAGATACAAGGTGAGCATCCAGAGGAAGTGAGTTCAGAGTAGTTGATTGAGATGAATGCGGTTGGGATTTTCTTTGTATAATCAAACAAGTGGTCTGCTGCACGTTTTAGCAATGGGCCCTTGATGCCATTTTGTTGACCAATATTAATGTAGTGCAGTGCTGTCTCATAATCAACGTGTTCTTCCTGCTTACGACACTAGAGGCTTGCAATGTTATTTAGTGTCCAAAAAGCAAGTGCTTGTCAATGTCTGGGTCAATGTCTGGGGAACAATGTTGATGAACCATGTTACTCATGAGTTACTGAGTTCCATGGTGCAGAAAGGTCAAGCAAAGATCCGATACCCTTCTTAAAGAAGAATAGAAAATCGGAAAGGGACACTCATCCTAGTGTCTGCGTTTGGTCTCGAAGCAAGACCGTATCAAGCCACATAGCAAAGGGAGCCTAAGGAAGGATAGGGGAGACATAAACTGGATTAAATTGAATAAAATAATTAGTTGCCAGTTGTGGGAGGAACGAAAGAGAACCGCATTTTTGTAACAAACAAGAACAGAAATTGCTGGAGAAACTCAGTAGGTCTTGCAGCATCTGTGAAGAGAGAGAAACAGAGTTAACATTTCGAGTCCAGTGATCCTTTTTCAGAATGTCTTCAGTTCTGCCAGAGTTGCCGAGTATCTCCAGCAATTTCTGTTTTTATTTGCTTCAAATCTCCAGCATCTGCTGTTCTTTCTCTTATATCCATATTTATATAACACAAGATCATTTCACACTTTTGAAGTACAGTGACTGATGTAATGTAGGAAGTGTCAGGCACATAGAAAAATCCCACAAACACAATAAGTAAATGATCAGATATTTAGCTTTTTTCTTATTGTGTGAGGTATAAACATTGACGAGAACACCAGGGGAACTTTGTGTTTGACTTTGCTTAACATTGTAGGATTATTTACATTGAAGGAAGAAGGTAGATCCTCAGTTTAACATTTCCTCTGAAAGACCTCTGTAGGTAAAGCTCTTCCACGATATTACAGTGGAGTCTTCTCTTAGATTGGGGTCTCAATACTCTGGGTAGTGGAGCTTGAGACAACAGCATTTTGACTCGGAAATGCAAATACCTCCAACTATGGCAAAATAGAATGAAATGAATGCTAATGAATAGTTTGACATGCTCTTTTATAAAAATGTATCAGATTTTAATATTACCCGCTTGCCTGCCTGCCATTGCCTTCCAGGAAAATCACCTACCTCCTCATTGGGGGACGAAGATGGGGCAGCAGAAGAAAAGATTGATATTGAAGATTTAAGCCAAGAAAAGCTAAGAACAGGAAGTAGGCAGAGAAGAAACATCAACAGAAATATTTAGAAGGATTACAACTGCACCATGTGATGCTGCAGATTCTCAGAATGAACCCTTACTCTCCAGACAAACAGAGTGAGGATGAACTGAAGTCAATCAAAAGATGTGACTCTGCTTTGAGGATAATTGCAGATGTTGAAGAGAACCTCAATAATGACATGAACAATGTGCCAGCCAAAGAAATAATTTGTGTGATTAATGACACTGGTATAATCAACAATTGGACAAGTAATAGCACTGAAATGCAAAGGAACCAATGTTTACCAGAAACAGTCAATACATACACAGAAAGAAATGGAACGTGGGAGGACAAATCAGAGACGACAGCAGTAAAACTGCAGAAGGAGAATAAAATGCCACTACTGAATCAAGCAGTACAGGCTATGTTCTATCGAGCAGTAGGATTTTCAAAACCCAGGAAAGGTGTGTTTATTCTTAGATTTATTTACTGTGACTTCCTCTGTGTTCCTCTTTTATATTTTCTCAGCTTTGTCCTTGTACTTTGTGCTGTTCCAGAATTACAACCAGACAGTGCACTCTCTGCCAGGTACATGATGGCATGGGTACACAGCTGTTTCACCCAAATCATAATATATTTTGCATCGGGAAGATCCAAATACAGTGACCAGTTAAATACTTGTATGTAAACCAAGTTTAAATGTGAAGTTAAAAATGAAATAATAGTTTCCCGTTTGGATATTTACCCTTTTATAAATATCATAAACAGAAAGAAATGATTGGGTGTGCTTTCTCCTCTGGACTTGTGAATTTGTACCTTTGCATGTAACTGGTAAGTCCTGATTAAAGCCTTTTATCTGTATATTTATGTTTAATTACCACATAGCGTGGTCACACAGTGGTTAGCATTGTTGATTGACTGATTGATTGATTTTGTTTTGCGTGCTATGCAGGCAGATCAAACCATGTAAAGTGCATCAGGGTAGCAGAACAGAGTGCAGAATACAGTGTTACAGCCACTGAGAAGGTACAGAGAGAGAGATCAGAATTAACGTTTGAGAGGCCCCTTCAAAAGTCTGATAACAGCTGGGGAGAAGCTATTCTTGAATCTGTGATTGGGAGAGTATAACCAGGGTGGAAGGGGTCTATGATTATGTTGGTTGCTTTCCTGACACAGTGGGAAGTATAGATAGAGTCAATGGATGGAAGGCTGGTTTGTTTTTTTTCCTGTTCATTTGTGGGATGCGGGCGTCGCTGACTGGCCAGCATTTCTTGCCCATCCCTAGTTGCCCTTGAGAAGGTGGTGGTGAGCTGCCTTCTTGAACTGCTGCAGTCTTCCTGCTGTGGGTTGACCCACAATGCTATTGGGGAGGGAATTCCAGGATTTTGACCCAGCGACAGTGAAGGAGCGGTGATATATTTCCAAGTTAGGATGGTGAGTAACTTGGAGGGAACTTGCAGGTGGTAGTGTTCCCATATATCTGATGCCCTTGTCCTTCTAGATGGAACTGGTCGTGGGTTTGGAAGGTGCTGTCTGAGGATCTTTGATGAATTTCTGCAGTGTATCTTGTAGATAGTACACATTGCTGCTACTGAACATCGGTGGTATAGGGAGTGGATGCTTGTGGATGTAGTGCCAATCAAGCGGGCTGCTTTGTCCTGGATTGTGTTAAGCTTCTTGAGTGTTGTTGGGGCTGCACTCATCCAGTCAAGTGGGGAGTATTCCATCACACTCCTGACTTGTGCTTTGTAGATGGTGGACAGGCTTTGAGGGGTCAGGAGGTGAGTTACTCGCTGCAGTATTCCTAGCTTCTGGCCTGATCTTGTAGCCACTGTGTTAATGTGGTGAGTCCAGTTGAGTTTCTGGTCAATGGTAACTCCCAGGATGTTGATAGTGGGGGATTCAGTGATAGTAACACTATTGAATGTGAAGGGGCAGTGGTTAGATTGTCTCTTATTGCTGTTGGGCATAGCCTGGCATTTGTGTGGCACAAATGCCACTTGCCACTTGTCAGCCCAAGCCTGGATATTGTCCAGATCTTGTTGCATGTGAACCATGGACTGCTTCAGTATCTGAGGAGTCATGAATGGTGCTGAACATTGTGCAATCATTGGCAAACATCCCCACTTCTGACCTTATGATGGAGGGAAGGACATTGATGAAGCAGCTGAAGATGGTAGGGCCTAGAATACTACCCTGAGGAACTGCTGAAGAAATGCGGCCAAGACCTCTCAAAACGTGTTTGAGAATGGAGTTAAGTAACAGTTAGAAATTAAAATCCTCTCACAGATTATGTGATGGACTGGGCTGTGTTCACAACTCTTTGCTGTTTCCTATGGTCATGTAAGAGCAGTTGCCATACCACGCTGTGATGCATCCGGATAGGATGTTTTCTATGGTGCATCAATAAAAATTGTTAAGAGTCCTTGTGGACATGCCAAATTTCCTCAGCATCCTGAGGAAGTAGAGGTGTTATTATACTTTTTTGACCTATGCGTCAATGTGAGTGGACCAGGACAGATTATTGGTGATCAACACTCCCAGGAACTTAACACTCTCGACCATCTCCACCTCAGCACCATTGATGCAGACAGGGGCATGTCCCCCACTCTGCTTCCTGAAGTCAATGACCAGTTCCTTTGTTTCACTGACATTGATGGAGAGATTGCTGTCTTTACACTGTGCCACTAAGCACTCAAACTGCTTCCTCTATTTTGTGTCATCATTGTTTGAGACCAGACCTATAATGGTGGTGTCATCAGCAAGCTTATAATTGGAGTTGGGGTGGAATTTGGCCACACAATTGTGAGTATATAAGGAGTATAGTAGGGAGCTGAGTATGCAGCCTCACAGGGCACCGGTGTTGAGGATTATGGTGGAGGAGTTGTTTTCACCTATTCTTATTAATTGTGGTCTATGGGTCACGAAGTCGAGGATCCAGTTACAGAGGGAAGAGCTGAGACCTAGGTCACGGAGTTTAGAGGTGCATTTGTTAGAATTACGTTGTTGAGGGCAAAGGTGCAGTCAATAAGTAGGATCCTGACGTAGGTGTCCTTGTTATCCAGAAGTTTCAGGGATGAGTGTAGGGTGAGGTAGATGGTGTCTGCTGTGGACCTGTTGTGCCAGTAGGTGAACTGCAAAAGATCAAGACAATCTGGGAGGCTGGAGTTGATGTGAGCCATGACTAACCTCTCAAAGCACTTCAAAATTATGGAGATCAGAGCCACCAGCTGGTAGTCATTGAGGCATGTTGCATGATTTTTCTTCGGCGCCATGATGATGGTGGTCTTCTTGAAGCAGGTGGGGACTTCAGATTGTTGTAAAATCTGCCTCACAGGACCAGGGGCCTGGATTCAATTCTAGCCTTGGATGACAGTCTGTGTGGAGTTTGCACATTCTCCTCGTGTCTGCGTGGGTTTCCATCAGGTGCTGTGGTTTCCTCCCACAATCTGAAGATGTGCAGGTCAAGTGGATTGGCCAAGCTAAATTGTTCTGTAGTGTCCCAGGACATGCAGGCCAGGTGTATTAGGCATGGTAAATGCTGGGTTATGGGGATAGGGAGGGGTTCTGGGTAGGATGGTCTTTAGAGGGTTGGTGCTGACATGATGGGCTGAATGGCCTCTTTCTGCACTGTGGGGATTCTGTGATTCTACATGTGAGCAATTGACTATCAGGCCTTTATATGCTCTTCCACATGCTTAATTTCATACCTATGCACAAATTACTGAGGTTTCAGGTCACATTTCCAGCAAAATTACAGAGCTGAACTACCTCCCAGGAAAATTTCCACCCCATTTAGACTGGGCAGAAAGATTCCCACAAATGTGAGTTCTGCTCTTCTTTGACAATGAAAGATGATTAGCATAAACAGACAGAAAGAAAAGTGGATAGTTTTTGGATAGTGCCTTTCATTACCACAGGATGTCTCCAAAATCTTCATAGTCTATTAAATACTTGTAAAGCATTGTCACTGGTGTAACATAGCAGACATGCCAGACAATTTGCACACAGCAAATGCCATGAGGCAGCCATCCACTTAAACAACAAAGATCATTTGTTTCCAAGACAGCGTATCAACAATTTTTCTTTCCAAGGATAATCCCAAAATGGAACAAGCTGCCAAAGTCACAGATCCATCATTGGTTATTTTCAAGATTCATCTTTAGATTATTCCATTTGTAACTTTTCATTATCAGGTCTAGCACCTCAGCAGGACATGCTTGGTTTAGTTGGTATGCCCATGTCAGTGTGTGATAGTGACACAACTAAAACGGAAGCATCTAAAAGGCAGCACCTCTGACAGTACAGCACTTTTTCAAACACTGGAAAGACATGTAAATTCTTATTGTCAGCTCATTTGCAGATCTGTTGGAGTGATGATTGACAGAAACTGAGTGTTAATTGCTGGGCTGTGTGGAAATTATAGTGCAGCTTTCTTAGAGGCTAAACGTGGCTAAAACTTACAACAGCAGATTTAAGGAACGTGCTAATAGATAGAGAACAGAGATTGGTTCACCCATCAGACTGTTTGACTTGACTTTGTGAAATAATTTTTCTGTTACTTTTGTAGAAAATTTACATAGAAGCAGTTGACAGTCAAAGCTAAACAAGGCAGCAATCGTGGTACACAGACAGTGTCGCAAAGTTGGGCAGGGTACTTGTGGATTGGAAGGCAGGACGTTAGAATTTGATATTTGTAAAATGATATGGGGGAAGAGTGTGTGGTCCCTTCAAAAGATGATGTGCTTTTTCTGTGCTTAGAGATTAAAATAAAAAGTCTGTGGGCAGCGTGTGGGTTGCAGGTACACAGAGAACTCCTGAAATTGAAACATTTATATCAAAGGTTGTATAGTTAGCAATTCAGGCAACAGTTTTGTTATTTTAGCAAGGCAACAAGTTTGAATATCAGACAATTAATTTAAACCAGGCACTTAGAGACGAAAACCCAATTAAATTTAAATCTAATGGGTTCTGACAACATTGGACCAATCCTATTGTAAGAAATTGATATGTCATCAAGGGTATAAAAGAAGAGGGCATTTGAAAATCGGTGCGAGAGCAACTGCCAGCTGATAGAGTTATCAGCCCTAAAGAGAAAATCACTGGTTCTCACAGAATTCTCTGAGCTCTCAGAGTAACCATCATCTAACTAAAGGTAGAGCAGCACTCTTAGCTAATATTCCTGACACAAAAATTCAAGGGAGAAATGTGTTCCTGACTGGAGATCAGCAGAGAAGGCACAGAACATTCTGGAAGACTTATCTTGGCTGTAATTTCAAGAGATAGTAAGAATTGCCAATGCTGGAGTCAGAGATAACACAGTATGGAGCTGGAGGAACACAGCAGGCCAGGCAGCATCAGCGGAGCAGGAAAACTGATGTTTCGGGTCGGGACCCTTTTTCAGAAATGGTGCAGGGGGAAGAGAGCTCTGAAATAAATAGAGAGGAGGGGTGGGGCTGGGGAA